AACATCGTTTATAGGTTGTAACAAGTAGCTCCCCGCCCTGGCCATCGACTGGACGCATCTACCTGAAATTTCCCATCTATTTATATAAACTGGATGCTGTTTATTCAACTGTCTATATACATTTCCTATACAGAGTAGATTGCATTAAACAGTCTATGACTTTTTACCACCTAAGTTAATGACAAAAAAAAAATGCTTTAGTTAACTGACTTATGCATTTATATATATATATATACACACACACATACATACAAGCGATTACTTATATTGTTTGTTAAAATCGATTCTTTATGGAAAAGATAATATAACCATCTGCTGTATCCTTGCCCCACATTCTGACTACTTTACTAATGTTCTGTTACTTGTTAAAATTTAAAAAAAGCATACAAGAAAGTTCTTAAAAACTTGCAAATTTTCCTCTAGTAATTAGTGTGACATAATGATTAAATTAAATTCTCCATTAAATTCTATAAATTAGTCATCTTATGGATATTTAGTTGGAATGAAGGCTATTTAAAGCTTTTAATTAACCTAATGAAGGGAAGAGTAAGCGTCATCATCTAAATATATAGCTTATATTTTTGATGCATTTTTTTTTTTTTTAATTAATTAAAGTAACAACATTTAAAGAAGAAGAAGAAGAAACGTTGAATAGGAGAACGAAAATTCAAACTCTTTCCCCGACATGAAAATATATAAAATAATGCAATTTTATTTATATCGATCGATAGATAAAATACGGGAGAAAGGGTGATTGTTAATGCAGATTTTTAAAATGGTAAAAGAAAGAGAGATATATATTAGATAATTAAGCCAATGAAGGGGGGGGAGTGTAGGTTATTAGAAAAATTTCTTTAATCAAGCTCTTTTACGTAAGGTTACAAAAATGGCTTCACGCTAGAATTTCTCTTCTAATTCAGAACATTTGACATTTGTTGAAACTGCCATCTAATGACATTTCAAACAATGCCTAGCTATTAAAGATAATTATGACCTAATTTAAGATATTTCGTGCCACGATTCTGATAAAATTCATTAAATTTCAAGGATATTTTTCTGGAAATGTATTAATGGTTAATCTATATTTTATTACTTTAAAAAAAAAAACAAAATATTTACTCGAATTTGTTTGTTTTATTTAAAAAAAAATTGTAAAGGTTGATTCGTTATAAACACAGGAGAGAATACATTCCCTCCCTCCCCCCCAATTTGGCAACGCGTGGCCACATTGCCACATATACGATCTTTAATAGTAAGCTACAGTTGGCTATAACCATAAAACACTAAACAAACACACACATCTCAATTAATGCTCGCTACAATAACAAACATGTCGACAGTGTAGTGCAGAAAGCTGTATAGGAACTATATACCACTAAAAATTAATAATCTTCCTAAACAAGAATATTACAGCGTGCCTTTTAACTGCTATGACAATTCTTTTATGGTTAAATTTTCCTTTTCAATAAAAGCAAATATAAATTTACTTCCTCATTTTCCAAAAACAAAAAAAAAATAAATAAATAAATAAAATCCCATTTCTATGTCAATGGTTTTATTGTTTTTTTTCCCCTCTCTCTCTCTCTCTCCACAAAATATTCCAAACTACAATTATTAATTAGGATAAAACCATTATTATTATTATTTACTTTTTTTTTAATGTTTAAACATTTAATGTGAGTGATATTATATAAAGAAATGTTTAAATCTTTATAACAAGTATACTTGTAAAATTCAAATTTGGAATATTTAATTTTATTCTCGACTTTACAGAAAAATAAAGGCGAAAAAATATGGATTTTGTAATTCAATAAAGGTATTTTTGGCCAAAGAAAGAATATTTATGTACCAGTGAGGCGAATTTTTATAATTTGAGTATATTTCCTCTTTGGAGAATATGGATTATGCAATTTTTTTTCCACTCCTCTCTCTCTCTCTTTTCTTTTTAAATCAACTATCTTTCCTCTGTTTTCTTTTTTTGTTTATAATTGGTAACAAAAATATTCTTGTGATAAATGAATTATTAGAAAATAAAAGAAAGAAATGAATACTTAGTGCCTACTATAAAATAAATATTTATATAAAACATATTTAAAGAAGATTGTTAATCTTCTCTTAGTATAATAAAGTTTAGTTAAGATCCACTTTTGTTAACAGATTAACAAATTCATCACCTTATATTTGTATGTATATCACTTGATTTTATGCTCAGTTAAATTTTATTTAATAATATAAAACTAGAATATAATAAAATTTAAAGTTTTTTAAAGAGAAAATGATTCCAATTCTAATGAAAAAGTCTCATCTTGGTTGAAAACACACACACACACACCTATGGGGATAAAAGTGAAAAAAATTGTTGAATAATTTATTAAATAAGGATGATAGAGAGCATTAACACCATCATCATTACAAAAGAGATTAAAACTTTCTTCTAAATGCGTTTTTTTTTTTATAAATAAAAACTCTAAAATTGGTGTTTTCTGTAGTTTTTACAACACTTTATCCAAAACATAGCAACTTCTCTCTTAGATAATTACTTAATTAATACAATTTATCNTAAAAGATTTTCTTTACAAAAAATATCAAACATAATTTAAGAACTAGATAATAAAATGATTGCATCATTTATATAGCCTAGTTTAACGTTATTAAAAACTACTTTTTGGTCAAATTTAATAAGAGAAAGGCTACTTATTAACTTAAATATTATCAGATAAATCTAAAGTTAAACGAAAAATACTTAAAAGGGGAACGGGTAGGTCTCGTCTTAAATAGGTCTAAGTCCAAAAAGACTCGTTTGCCTTTTTAACCTTATTGATTTGAATGGCTGATTTTAAAACTGGAATTTCTTCAAAAAATATAGAATATAACCAAGGAAAAACAGTAATAAATTCTTTAAAAATATACTATTAGTTACAGTACGAATATCTATTAATAAAAATTTTGAAACCATTCCAATTAAGTAGTTATTTAATCCTAGAAACCGAACACGAGCCAATTCTGTAAGTCTAATGATTGGAAAAGAGAATAAAGAGAGCGACTTCGGGGGTACTTAAAAACAGAATCAATCGACATTTGCATGGAATATATTATCAAGAGCCTACAAGTAAGCAAAACGAAACTTTTCCATCATTTATTCCCATTATTTGCCTATTAAAACTAAACGTATACTTTATCTCTTATAAACAAAACCTTGTTAAAGATCTAATCCTTCCAATTAATATAACATCGCGTCAGTCAGCATCCGGACTGCATTATTCCGAGAGATGCGGAGCAGCAAAATGATAACAATATCTAAGAGGATGGCGGAACCAACTTAATCAATAGATCTAGATTAAATTGGTTAAGACGAACGTAAGAATATGTGTTTCACTTAATAAACCAACCTAATATAATCCTAAATAGATACTTGCTTTACTCAACAGATGGAGGCACTATTGCTTCGGTAGCAATTAGTTTGAATGAGATGGGTGGGGAGGGAGAAAGAGAAAGAGAGAGAGAGAGAGAGAGAGCTCAAATGATTTTGCATCAATTTACATCAGACTCCGGAGCCTCCGCGCCATCCAGTGTGCGAGAGGGTCAAAAATCTTTAGCATAACCAAAGCACTTTCTAGCGGGGGTGACGGGGCCAAATCTAAAGCAAACCCTGTCCAAGCAACGATAAACAATTAGTTCTTGGGAGTGGGATCAATTAAAGAAACTCGGACGAATATAAACCGGTCACTATACTACGTACGGTACTTCTACACACATACATATATATATATTTATGCGACATAACCGCGCGGCCTCCATTAGCATAATTTTATTTAGAATATTTTAAAGATTAATCACACAATTATTCCAAAATAATTGTATAAAAGGGAGAAGTTACGATTAAAATGCCGGCCATTATAATATTTTGAAATTATAATCGAAAAATTCGTTTGCGTTTTTGCATGCCGTGCAAGTCGGGCCGACGGATGAATTATTCATAACGCTTAATGTGGTAAGAAACGTAAAGCGGAGGGATGCGAAAAGCTTTTGCTGGATGGGGGAGGGGGGGAGGGAAAAAAAGGCCCGAGTGTCGAGATCGACAGGTGAGAGGGGCCCGACGACGACGGTAAAACACGGCAAAAGAGGGTGCTTGGAAGTTAACGCGAGGCACATCCCGCAGAAAGGGCAACAATCCTTTGGAACGGAAACGGTGCAACGTCCCACCGGCGGCTGACTTCCGCCGCGGCAACCGGGCCTCCCCCGCCACAACCGGAGACGACTAGACACCGGCGAGTTTAAGGTGGACCGGCAGCCATCTGCGCATAAGTTTCCGGCCGCGCGTTTTACAATGGAGCGAAAATGGTCAAAGCAACAATCTGCACGTACCTTTGGCTGTAAGCATTGCTCATCTGCTCGACCTTCGGTCAGAATGAGATGATTGGACGTCATCTGAATGTTGCCGAAGAATCTGACCTCATTATGATATTCAAATAGCGAGGGGTAACGCTATCTATAAATGAATGTTTGCGCTCGTACACAGATTGGCTGGCCGAGACGAGGCTGATACACGGCGGCAGCTCCCATTAGCATTGCATTTGCCCGTCTAGCACATTCCTGTTTTGCACCTAAAATGATTCTCGGCTTTTTATTGGCGAAGTCGCCCCTTGTTTATGACTCGCAGCTGTCAATCTCGCACCGGGATAATACGACTGCTTGCCCGGCCTGCTGTTGTCTTGACAGTAACGCCATAAGGAGCAGGACCCCTGCACCGTCTATAGAGAAGCTACTATCTCTCTCTCGCTCTCTCTCTCTCTCTCAAAACAACCAGACTGGAATGCGAGGAAGGAGCAGCCATTTTCTTTCATTCTAAAATGAAAAATTTTAAATCGCCTCCCGCTTTAAAATACCCGACCACGCCTTAAATTAACTACATTATTACTAGTTACCGAAGCATTTAAATTTTAAATTTTATTTAATTTTAAATATTTTAAAATATATTTAAAAAAAAAAAAATTACTCACCGGAATTTGCATTTCATCTATTATATGTTCCCGCTTCCCAGGGTGTCTTCTTCGCTGCCTGAACCATTTCGGAGTTCATCTCTACACTGTTAATTAAGGGAAACCAAGGTTTTTAATTCGGAAAGGGTAAGAAAAATCGTGGGTAGAAAAATTTACATCATCTGTAGGATAGAGTTTATAAGATTTTTTTTTTTGTTTAATCCGCTTGTTTATCAATCACTAACGAACGACGAACGAAAAGGCAATTCGCTAATCGTTACATAAAATATTAACATTCATTATGTTAATCCTCTTAATTGTTCTTGGAGGTAATTAAAGTGTTAGGCGCTAGTCTAGAATGGGTTTTTTTAAACGGCGCGTACTGGTTTAAAACGATTTTTAAATGTTTTTAAAATGATTCGGCGCCGTTTTAAAGCATTTTAAAGCGTTTTAAAGTCGGCTGGGACGGTCGGCCGGAGACGGAATCCGGCGCGTTTGGAGTGTGAGAAAAGGGTGACGGAAGACGTTTACTCCATGTAAAAACGACAGTTGTCTGCCGACAAGAGTAACGGAATGTTAAGCAGTCGGAGGGCGAGAAGCGACTGACACCGAGGTGTAGGGTCTGGTGGACGGATTCGCTGCCGACCAGGAAAAGTAGAACACATTTGTAGGGTGACGACAAGGCCGGCAGCAGTAACCGAAGCCTACAATGCTGTAGGGAGCACCCACGGCAGCCTCCACTCGCTATTACCAGCCAATCGTCGCCAGATTTCGGTGGCTGCTACCACCGCGTGTCTATTAAGCCACCACCGCCGGCCGCAGTCCATTTGGCGGCCGACACCGAGAAGCCGTACACACTGCGGTCCATCGACTGGAAGCCGGCATGGGTTCGGTCCCGTTAAGTCTCGTCGTCCGCCGAGTAAAAAGCGCACATTTAAATAAATAAATAAAGAAAAAAGCCGCCAACTCCGAACAGTGCCGACGTACCGACGGACGGCCGTGCCGTGACTTTGGCATTTAACAAGTATTACCGTGCCTGAGCAGGTGGGGAGAGGAAGGCCCGCGGTTATCCTCACGACGGAATCCGAATAACTGCCGAATCGCCTGTCACTGGAAGAGTCGTCGACGTGTGCCCGCCTCCCCTAATACGTACGTGGTACTCATACTGCAACGTCATGTCGGAATACACAAGCCGTCACAGAAACGAGTAGACGGCAAAAATACCGTAACAAGGTACGTCAATTACTGTTATCTGAAAATACCCAAAAGCAGACGGCAGCCGAGAGACACCGGGACGTGACCATAATCGATTATCTTAGAAAGTAATCTTTTACCGTAAGAATAAGACAAAAAACAAAAGCGTTCACACTGTAACTTACCGATCTCCGACCAGTCGCAGCCGGATGCCAGCATCGTCCATATGTCCGCGCTCAACCGCAGCACCGACGAATATGAATACCTAAGACAGTTGAATACCGATCCGATTTTATCGCCTCCCAGTCAAGGTTACGACTAGCTGCATGTCTAAGCTTGGTTAGATCATCTAACGAGTGTATGGGTCCCCGCTTGGTCTGTGTGTCCACCGAGAATGACGCCGACACTCTGTGACCAACGATAGGACAGAAAATCCCGGCGCAAGTCATTAACAATGGGCGAATTAATGCCTCCCTGTCGGGGTGGCGAAGTACGGAGCGATGAAAATGTGACACATGGTGTGGCAAAAACGAGGCTGTCTAATCCTCCACGTCTCCGACAAATCGATATTTACCAGCAGTTGCGAGTCTGATGTGGACGGCCGCACTGAGACATGGTCAAACACATTCGTTTACAATAACACTATCGCTACTCGCAAATTAATGCTTAAATCTACCTAAAAATGGCTGTAAGCTGTGACTCATGCCACCTACCCTCTTCCGTCCTATCCGACTTGGCATCTATCGTTTCTATTCGAGTTTTCCGCCACATTCATGTTGTCATCCGAGTCCGCATGATCGTACTCTCTGCTGTCTCTGCCAGTGTTTTCTTCGCCATCCACCGCCCGCAGGACATCGCTGCCGACAGCAACTGTGAAAATTGCCCTGTAAGTAAAGATGGTATTTTACTCTGCTAATTAATTATTCAAAAATTAATTGCGATCCATCGCGCATGCGTCCGCTCCTCACCTAAGCGAATAGGCTTGTGGGTAAACAGTCATGGCGGATGGCTGCGGCTTATTGCTTTGTTTGCTCCGTAATTTCCGCACTCTCCTCCTTCCTCTATTTCCCCTTTTACCTTAATATATACATATACGTCTATCTCTATACCTACACACGTATATAAAGCCTATTAATTACAATAATTCCACTAAAACTAACTTTGGCCTATGTCATTAACAATCATCACATGGCCTCCTCAATTTAAATATCATTTTCTAATGCTTTTATATCTCTATACAGCATACATTTAATTCCCTTTAAAAAATACCCTTTTCTAGCTTGGCCTATAAACAGTTCTCTTCTGTTTTTATCAAAGGATTTGAATAATAAACTAATAACTTGTTAAATTCTACATAATTTATTAAAGAGAGCGCAGTTAATGTGTTAAGGAAACTTTATTTTTTTTAACTACAGAAAAAAAAAATTTTTGATGAAAGAAGAATTTGAACTTTTAAATAGAATTAATGTGAAAATTAAAGGGAAAATTCATTAAAGGAGTTAATTGTTTCATTTAATATTAATAAAAATAATTTACTAACATCTTTATATTAAAACTTGGAGCAATTTGATTAATAAAAAATTCAGTATAATAATTAAATTTTAAATTTTTTTCTTTTTTTTTTTAATGCTTCTAACAAACTATTTCCTATGAATTGTTAAATC